ACTAGTGAGCGAGTCAGAATGACTTATTTCCCTTTATAGTCGACCAATAGAAGGTTGACCAATCAGAAGCCGCCCAACACTGTATTCGTCGTGTATAAAGGCGGCCATCTTGTTTCCTCCTACCGGAAGGACCAAAGGCGACCAGGAGAAGGATGAACTACACTCTGCTGTGATATCCACTGCGAACGTAAGTACGCTTTCCTACTGTCTCCGAAATATTCACTGCCAACCTCTAGATTCTATACTCGAGGACGACCGTCATGAAAATGTCTAACAAACAACACTCATGTCTTCTTTCCAGAGGTCAGTGAAATGCTGATGACATAGGTGTTCATAGATGGTATAAGAATGACCATGAACAAAAAGAATTAACATTCTTGACTAAGTGTTCCAAGAAGAAGGGCTTTCCAAAACAGAATGATCTGGAATTGGAATGAGAGTAGTGATTGCACATAACCTAAATACATCATAAAAATTTAGAATGTGGAATTAATAATTCAAAGCACTTCAAATAGCTTGGTGTAAAGATCACTTATAACAAATTTAGTGTAGGAAATAAGGAAATAAAAGACAGGTTAGGTTTGTTATCCAACCTATATAAAACCAAATTATTAACCAGGAAAACTCAAGTCATGCTATTAAATAGCTTCATCTGATCTAGACTCTCATATGGATATTACATATGGTATCTAACCCATTCAGAAATGTCTAAACTATCAATTATAGACAACTGTTTTCTCAGATCAATGATTAAAAACAGCTTCAAGTAAATGAATCCTTTAAGTCCTAAAGAAAATAATCCTGTAGACTAGCGATATAGGATCACAAATAAAGAACTTTATCAAATAACAAAACCACATCCCTTGAAGACTTCCAACAGCAGAAACAACAAAAATGGGTAGCACATTTAACTAGAAGAGAAAAAAACGCATAATCAAGACGTTGAAAATTAGAAACAATATAGGTCCAAGGCTAGAACTATTAATAGAAAACAGCATTCATGTCTTCTTTCCAGAGGTCAGTGTAATGATGAATGGAGAAATGCTGATGACATAGGTGTTCATAGATGATATAAGAATAACCATGAACAAAAAGAATTAACATTCTTGACTAAGTGTTCCAAGATGAAGGGCTTAAGATAGATCTCTCCAAAACAGATTGATCTGGAATTGGAATGAGAGTAGTGATTGCACATAACTTAAATACACCCTAAAAATTTAAAATGTAGAATTAATAAGCACGAAACGCTTTAAATTTCAGTATTGACTTGAACACAGGAGCCATGTTTTTGAATAGCTTCGTCAAAATAAAACATTGTCATGCATGGCGTCCAACCCGTCCAAAACTGTCTAGTCTATCAGTTATATGAAACCGTTTTCTCTGTTCAATGATTAAAAATGGCCCCAAGACGAAGAAATCCTTTAGTTTTTCATGAAGACTATCCATCATCAGACCCTATAAGCTGGCGATACATAATCCCTAAGAGTTTTACCAAATATAAAAAGCTACATTATTTGAAGACTTCCAAGAGTAGTAACGATAACAATGGATAGCAGACGTAACGTGAGGGGAAAATAATGCTATCTTAAACAAAAGGTCCCATCAGTCTTAGAAAGAGCGATAAAAGTGGGAAGAGAAACCAATTTTCAAGAAAAGAAATTTTAAAAATCTTCTATAAATTCCAACCGATATTAGCGCTAACAGTTCGGTCTAAGAATGGCAAGTGTTTCCTGTATGGAAACGGCTATTTTCACCATTCTCGATCACAACCAGGAGTCCTGTAACTCGCCAGGTACAATGTGTACTGCAGCCGGAGTAGAAGTGGCGTTTCTTGGGGCAAAATAACCTGACGGAGCCCTACAGGTTGGTTTGAATTCAAAGTTTTCCTTCTGGTAGACTGGCTGTCAATCAAGGTTGCAGGGTTCAGGCTATCCTGCTTTTTACATATCTCGAGCCGCCAGCATCACCATTACCATTAGCGTTGGTCTGGGTATGACGATAAACTACAGCCGGCAACAAGTCCTCTGACCGGGAGATGAGAGATTCTGTGGAGCTTGGAACGACCTCTTAATTACTGTTGTTCTCAGGTCCATCTTGACCTGGGATGCTAGCACATGTTAGTGTCCCAGCTATGGGAAAATTGTTAACCTCCAAACAAAATCAAAATACTACGAAAGTCTAAAAATACATTTTTATAGTAAAAATACCAGCATATATATATATGTATATATAACTAGACTCGTTTCGAAAAGCCCTCGAATTTTTGATTTGCTAATAATCAAATCAATCTCGAGAGAAAAAAAAGTTTTAAAAAAAGAAAGAGCTACAAACAGGAACTTCTGCCGACAAAAAAATCGGACAGATGCAGATCTGAAGCCCAAAGAAAAAAAACCAACACAAGTAAACAACTAACTAACAAAAGAGCTCAATACAACCGTAGAGCAGACCTAGATACACCTAGTGAGCCAGACAAACCTACCCTGGTTTCACCTAAGCGGATCATCAGGGAAAGTTTTATATATATATATATATATATATATATATATATATATATATATTTATAAAAAATTTATAACATAACATAAGTATGTTATAAAATCAATTGATTTTATAACATACTTATATTATAATTTTTTATAAATAATAATTATATCTGCTCTACTTTGTATTGAGCACTCTTTTAAGAATAGTAATTGTTGGTTATTGGAATTCATTCCGTATATACCAATTATATACTTGGATATATATATATATATATATATATATATATATATATATATATATATATATAGTAATACAGTGTAACCCGGATATAAGAGAAACCCGGATATAAGAGAGATTTTCTCTGGTCCCAAATTAGAGCCTGTGTTAATGTAAACAAAACAGACCAAACCCGGATATAAAAGAAACCCGGATATAAGAGATTTCTTCTCCGGTCCCGTCAACTCTCTTATATCCGGGTTACGCTGTACCTATTATAATAAAATTAACAACAATACATATTTTTAGTAAAATTACCAACAAACATATTTTTAGTTAATTTACCAATAATACATTTTTAAAATGAACAGCAGTACATTGTGTAATAGAATTACCTACAAAATATTTTATAGCAAAATGGCCAACAATATATTTTATCTGCAGTTGAAGGCATACAGTTGTGTTCAAAATATTTAGATTTCGGCTTTAAATAACCCACGGGTGTTGATATGCCGCTAAACAACAGCAACCAACTAACCAACATGAAAGAACTCTTTCATGATATTAATCCATATAACATCCTTCAATTTCTTAAAGAAATCAAACTGTATTCCAAAAAATAACTTCAACAAAACTACAACACCAAACACACATATCACCACCTCTACTATATATATGACCACACAAGCATGTATATACACAAAACCTGAGTATCATCTACCATGTATTCAACTGTGAAAGCAGCATAAGATATATCATATTTTTATTACTTCAAATCTCCTAAAGAGATAACATTTCAGCATAAAATGACCCATAAGGGTGTTGATATGCCTTGTTAAACAATCAAATCAATCAATCAAGGTTTTATGGAGCTCGGTATACATAACTATTTTTTTCATCACGAGGAAAAATGAGGAATGAATATTGTAATGGTAACCGGCGTAAAAATTGAAATCAGCGACACGAAATCAAATTCTGTCCTAGCCTTTTGCGTTCACTTGGGTTAAAATGATTAAAAATATATATATATATATATATATATATATATATATATGAACCTCATCCCTTCCAGGCCAATTCTCTATCACTGTAGCCAAATCAGCACTTTCTCTAAAAAGGAAGTAATTTAATAAAAAAATAAAAAAAAAATAGTGCCCGCGTCCACAGGTGCCAGTCAGTTATCACGTTGTAATTAACCGAATCTTACACAGAGGTTTTACAACTGAAGCCAGTGCGCGCTTTCTAGGTCCTCCCCCTGACCCCTCTCTTTACCCGCTTTCTTACTCTACTCCCCACCCCTCTCTCTCTCTCTCGCTCTCTCTTTCTCTCTCTCTCTCGCTCACACACATTTTCTAACCCCCCCCCTCTCTCTCTCTCTCTTTTTTTTTTTTTTAGCTGAGTTGCGATAATCCAAACAATATGGACGCCGACGCTTCCAGAATTGGTTAGGTGCCGGAGGTTGGGAAGATGGAGTCGGATGTAGAGCGAAAACAGCTGTTAGTAACCACTTGCTGTTCCCGTCAGCGAGCAGTTTCCTACTCGTCTGCGTGTGACATCACACAGACCTGGAAAAAGCATACTTTCCTATTCACAAAGGTTAAAAATTAGTTTCCTCGTCGACAATTAACATAATCTCTGTCGTTTTCACTGCTTATCACACATACGCACACGTACACACATACACATACATACACACGCATCTCTCTCTCTCTCTCTCTCTCTCTCTACATATATATATATATATATTATATATATATAAATGCAACTATTCTATTGAATATATATATATATATATATATATATATATATATATATATATATATATATATATATATATATATCTTTGGTGTAAGTAAAACAGAGCTCAATACAAAATAACAGAGCTATTAAGTATATGTCAATAAATATACATGATACCCCACTACTCGGAGTTTCATCCGAGTTGTACAGTCAGCGTGGTGTCTTATATATATATATATATATACCAATAATACAATCTTAATTTGTTCAAGTCTAGAGACAACTGTTACCTTCCCATTCTATCCATACGAACTACCCCTTAACGTAGCCCTCTACCTCGAGTGGCGCCCGGGCATTGTACAGGGTGATCCTTACTATATATATATATATATATATATATATATATATATATATATATATCGGCTGGTCGTTCTTATTCAGTATGCCTCCCTGTCTACTAGGACGGTTAAACAAGTCCTGTTGCTGACGCCTGCTCAGGCACATTTGTGTTTTGTCCACCATCTGTTGTTTATACTACAACTATTCTGAGCGAGCCTTTGTTAGAGTTTCTGGGCGAGGGCTATATAATAGATAGATAGATAGATAGATAGATAGATAGATAGATAGATAGATAGATAGATAGATATACGAATCCAGATAGATATACGAAACTCTATAGATAGATAGATAGATGAAGCCAGATAGATAAATAAATTTGAAGAGGTTAAGAGATAGATAGATAGATAGATAGATAGATAGATAGACAGACAGACAGACAGACAAAAGAACCCATATAGATAGATAGATAGGTAGGTAGGTAGGTAGGTAGGTAGGTAGAAATAGCTAGATAGAATATAGATTTCTTTTCTCGCACTTGTCGCGCGTGGAACACTCTCCCGGTTTCTTGTTTCTCTGTCACTCACGATCTCCAAAAATTTAAATGCAACCTCAATCACAATCTTCTGTTTTCATGATATCTGTTCTTTTATTCACCTTTCTCCTCACTTTTTCTCTTTCTCTTTCTCTTTCAGTAACCAATTGCGTCTTAGTGACATTTTAACCTTGCTTGGGGCAAATTTATTAAAAAAATATATTCCGATATCAGTGGTCATGGCAATAAGATTTTTTCTTCACCATCATTATTATTAAATATCTGTTCATATTACTATGACATATAACATACAGAATTTATTTATAACTCAAGTCGGATTTATTTATATAACTGTCATATCTTAAGTTGGTTTTTATTCATCAAATCGAGGCAAGTCTTCCATACACTCAAATCGCTTATATAGTTAGACAGCAAATACTAAAAGCATATGCAGAAATAAATCCACAATTTGACCTTGCATGGAGTATTGCTGCCATATATGGTCTGGTGCCCCTTCTGTTTGCCCCGGGGTTCTTGATAGGCTCCAGAGGCGGATATGCAATATGGTTGGCCCTGCCCTGGCGTCTCGTCTACAGTCACTTCCTCACAGACGCCTACCTCTGTCTGTTCTACAAATACTTTCATGGAAATTGCTCCGAGGAGCTGCATTCGCTGGTTCCCAGACGTCATGAGTTCAAGCGCCCTACGAGGCTGGCATCCCGTTCTCACCCCTTCACTGTCGAAACTCCTAAATGTAGCCGTCTCTTCTCCTCCTCGCACCTCTCGCCTGTGGAACTCTCTTCCCCTCTCCTGTTTCCCTGAGAGCTATAATCTCCAGCTATTCAAGTGTAATGTCAATCGACATCTCCAGTTGCCTTGATCTATCCACTACCCTCATCCTTTCTTCTATCACTCCTATCTGATCTTGCTATAAATTTTCTGTAACCCCTTGCGTCCTAGTGGCTTCCCGCCTTGCTTGGGGTGAAATGTTTAAAAAAAAACAAAAAAAAACAGCGGAACTTATTTTACTATATGTACTCATGTCTCAACAGTAAATCTGGTATCGCTAACAAAACTAACCTGGCTGTTGACCTCGAAAAAGACCTCCAATCTGTTGTTAACTGGGGCAAGAAATGGCTGGTAAACTTTAATGCCACAATAACAAAACTGCTCCAATTTACTCGCCAGAGAGAACCCTCCCTACCGCTCATCAGTTTGCTATCACGCTGTCTGCTGACCTATGGAACAAATACATTGAATCAATAGCCTCATTTACCACAAAGAAATTTGGTTCTCTGTGTGGCACCAGAATTTTTTTTTCTCGCTTGAATCCATCCTTCAAATCTATAAATTAACCATTCACCCTTGCAGGGAATACTGCTGCCATATAGGGTCTGGGCTCCCGCTGTTTATCTCAAGGTCCCCGACAAAATCCAGAGACGGATATGCAATGTGATAGGTCCTTATCTGGCATCTCGTCTAGAGTCACTATCTCACAGACGTGCCATTGCTTCTGTCTTTTCTACAAATACTTTCACGGCAACTGTTCCGACGAGCTACTTTCGCTTGTTCCCAAACTGCATGAATTTAAACGTGCTACTAAGTTGGCATCTTAGTCCCACCCTTTTACTGTCGAAACGATTAAAAAACAGCTTATTATCTCGCACTTCCCGTCTGTGTAACTCCTTTCCTCTTACTTGCTTCCCTGATAGTAATAATCTTCAAATATTCAAATGTAATGTCAATCGATATCTTCTGATGCCTTATTCTGATCCCCGTCTTTCTCTATATCCTTTCCTCAAACACCCCCCTCTTTACTTTCACTTTCATTCTCTGTAATCCATTGCATGCTAGTAGCACTCCTACCTTGCTTAGTGTGAAATGCTTAACATAAGAAAAAAAATGAAGTTATATAGAAAGGTCATTGGAAATTAATTTACGACATAATGGCTTTTTTACCCCATTAATTCATACTGGAAACACCGTTAACAGAACAATCTAGAATTTGGCGCTAAACTCAAGAAAACATTTTTAACCAATCAGCTTGCGACGATCATAGATCTAGTTACGATCTAAATGGATCCCCAGATATGTATAAACCTTACTCTCAAGTTTAGTAGTTGTAATATAGTAACAACTCTAAGTATGAACACGACCTGCGAACAGGGTCACATCCTTGGTCGCAGTTACCAATATAAGTTATAACGCCTTTGAAGGGCTGCCGCCTGCAACCGGTGGTGTGACCATGTTTAGTGGTCCGGTCCTCAGTATCTTAGAACGACGTTTTAACCACAGGGCTAACTCTGCCGGGGTCAATGCTGACGCTGGTCTAAGCTGGTTGTTGGTCGCTGGTCGCTTCGAGCCACACCAATTCTGCCCACGCCGTGTTCTTGATCCCAGAGCAGTGGGAGATCGAATGTCGTCGTAATGGCAGCGCTGATTCAAGCCGTGGCGGTTGCTATAGTAAGGAAGAAAATTATCTTTACGAGTTAAAATAAAACGAGAGATTCATGGGATTAATCTTCCATTGTCTTATATAGCTCTTGATACAACAAAAAATAACACTTCTCGTATTAATCGCTATAGTGAACACTGGGCCTTGTCTAAACTTCTGGAGCTGAAGTTCTTGGAATCAGGAAATCTGGTGGCAGTTGACGTGGATTACAAAGGCACTCGATGTGGGCTCTCAGCTCAAAGTCTCCGTGCTCCCCAAGGTCATCTGCATATGCACTTCGGCCCAAAACTGGCGTTGAGGCCGAAGGGTTCTGGTGGTTCACCAATTTTCATCAATTCCAATAAAGATTTACTTTTTTACCTATTTCTGCTTTCTTAATCAACTTTCTAAATTTAGAGAATTATCCACCTTCCTTGGGATAAGTCACAGGAATTACTCCTCCCTTAACTCCAACCTGGAAATTATTTAACATACTACAGTGTAACCCGGATATAAGAGACCCGGATATAAGAGAAACCCGGATATAAGAGAGATTTTCTCTGGTGCCAAATTAGAGCCTGTGTTAATGTACAGTGTAACCCGGATATGAGAGAGTTGTCGGGACCGGAGAAGAAGTCTCTTATATCCGGGTTTCTCTTATATCCAGGTTTGGTCTATTTTGTTTACATTAACACAGGCTCTAATTTGGGACCAGAGAAAATCTCTCTTATATCCGGGTTTCTCTTATATCCGGGTCTGTTATATCCGGGTTACACTGTATATAAAATAGACCAAACCCGGATATAAGAGAAACCCGGATATGAGAGACTTCTTCTCCGGTCCCGACAACTCTCTTATATCCGGGTTACACTGTATCACAATGTATTGAAATTTATACTATTCTAAAATTGCATATGAGATTAGGTTATTATAGAAATTGTATTGAAAGTTATTTTCCTTTTGTAATGGACTGGGAATTATTTTAATATAGAAAAATACATTGAAAGTTTTTTGCAGCAAAACTGAATTATAAATTGGTTTACTATGGAAGGATTGTAAACTATTTTATTAAGGAAATGTAGTGGATGTTACTTTGCTTCAGAATTGAATGGGAAACCATATTTCTTATCAGGGATTTGATGGTTATTTTATTATAGAAATCCATTTAAAGTTATTTCAAGCTAAAAGCACTAGAAAATATTTTATTATAGCAATATTTCTCAAATTATTTTAATAAACACGCTCAGTTGGAAATTATTTTCGTATAAAATTTTATTACAAATGATTTTATTGTAGAAAGTATTGGAAGTTTTTTTTACTATAGATTTGCATTGTAAGTTATTTTACTATAAGAATACAATGGAAACGATTTTACTATAGAAACAGACTGGAAATAAGTTTACTATAGTAATACATTCTTTTACAGTAAAAATAATTTGGGAATTATTTTACTTCAGAAATACACTGGAAATTATTTTTCTATGGAAATACACGGGAAATTATTTTACTGTAATAAAGCATTGGAATTTATTTTACTATAGTTTTGCATTGGAAATTATTTTATTACAACAATATATTGGAGGTTATTTAGCCTAAAATTACATTGTAAATTATTTTGCTATAGAAATGCAGTGGAAGTTATAGGATTGCATTGGAAATTATTTTCTATAGAATGATTGGAAATTGATTTTATTCTATAAATTCACTTAAAATTATTTTACTATAATAAAGCATTGAAATCTATTTTATTGTAGGCATTATTTTGAAATTATTTTATTGTATAATGCAATAGAAGTTGGTTTACCATAAAAATGAATTGGAAATTATGACGCTGTTTTACTAAATAAATTAATTAAAAATGTATGTGCTTAGTGACATATTTTCTATTTGTATTAGTCTTATATATATATATATATATATATATATATATATATATATTTAGTTTATGCAAAACTAGGTAATCCGTATGGGTAGACTCAAGGAGGATGATATCCGGAGAACTCAATGTAAATTCAGAGCAAATATGTTTGAATAAAAAACAGACCGCTTTAAGGGTCCATGTAATAAATTATTTCACCACAGCCCTTTTAAAGGAAGTAAAGTCTGATGATCCAGAGCCCTTTAAAAGGGCTGTGATGAAATAATTTATTACCTTAAAGTGGTCTGTTTTTATTCAAATATATATATATATATATATATATATATATATATATATATACACTTAGAGGCCTCTAAGTGTCAACACTTAAAAGGTTGAATATGCATCTACTTGTCTATCACTGAATATATATATATATATATATATATATATATATATATATATATATATATATATATATATAAAGTGAATATAGAAGTCAACAATTAGAGGCTTCTAAGTGTTGACTTTTATGTTCACTTTATATTTACACACGCTCTATCTCTGATATTGAGCACTTTATCCCATAAATATAGCACACCTTAAGACTATATTTCTTCATATATATATATATATATATAGTGATAGACAGATAGATACATAGACAAACAGACAGATGT